AAAGAGCAAGGAGCAGAGGGAGAATGGTGGAGGTTTGAAGACAGAGGAACTGGCGTAAACTTGGGCAGACTGTCTCCCAAGGTGGACTGTTGGTCACAACCTACAGTCGTCTCTCAAAGAAAATGCTCAGATTATCTCAGTTAAAGGAGGCTTATCATCACTGATACTACTGTGTTTGCTTCATGTTATATACTACATGGTTTCCATGTATTGTCTTATTTAATTCTTATAACAGTCCTATGAGACATAAGTGCTACTACTGTTCCTATTTTTTGGACAAGGAAACTGGGGCTTAGAGAGGGTAAGTATATTGCTTAAGGTTACACAGCTAGTAAGTGGTGGAGTGGGAACCAAAATCCAGATCTCTCTAACCCCAAAGGCAAGTGAGGAAGAGAGGACTGTATCTTAAGAGCTAAAGCTTCTTGGAGAACTGTAGTATTGTTTGCTGTGTTAGATCTGGTATCTGGCATTTGCCCTGGTAATCCAATAGTAGCTCCACTAGTCAGTTCCCCCTTCCTACTATTACTAACAAAGTGATTGTATCAATTTGGGATGCTTCTGGCTGCAAGTAACAGAAAACTCAACCACAGAGGCTTAAACAAAGAGAGCTTTTGTTTTTCTCACATAACAAAATGTCTGGAGGTAAGCAGTTGCAGGCGCTGGTTCATCTGCACAGCAGAGTTGTCAGGGACCCAGGCTTGCTGTGTCCTTCCACTCCACCATTCTCAGTGTGTTGGCCTTTGGTCTCAGACTTGTCTTATGGTTGCCAGGTGGCTGCTGCTGCTCCTGACATTACCTCTGCTTTCAAAGAAGGAAGATGAGGAAAGAGCTGTGGGTGAAAGACAGGAGTGTGTTGTCCTTTTTTAATCAGGAAAGCTATAGCTTTCCTAGAAGCTCTACTCAGTGACTTCTATTTATGTCAGTAAGTCAGAACTGGGTCATCTGGCTACCCCTAGCTGCAAACGGGACTGGTCAGTACCTGCCTTTTTTGTCTCTGAGGTTGAGGCAGGCCATGGAGAAGGGGTTGGAAATGCTCAGAGGACATCTGCGGTATCTGTTAGAGGCTCTCCTGCTGGAAGAGAGGCTTTGATTGGTTTGGTTAGTTGCCTTCTTGTGTCGAATGCCCCAGGCAGAGCTTTCACGTGGGCCTCCTAATGGCTAACTGGCTGACCTGTGGCTGCTTTAGGGCTGGATATTAATCCCTGATTCCATCAGCTGTGGCATGGGAGTGGTAGGCACAGGTAGCACCAAGTATGGTAATCTTTGTGTAAGAGACCACTCTCCATGTCTTAGATGCCACTCTAGTTCATCTTGAGAGGTTTCTACAGTCAGTGAGCAGGAGAAGGAAGAAACACATCAGAGCAGTCTTGGGGATAAGACAGGTTTTTTGTTTTTGTTTTTTAAAGAAACAGAAAGCACAGATCATAAAGAAAAAGATTAAGGAATTTCAACTGTAAAAAATTCTTTGCATGAGAAGATCCCATTAAAAGAGTGAAAAAAGTAAACTGGAAAAAAGTATTTGCAAAAGCATTAACTGACAAAGGATTAGTATCTAGAATAATCCTACTAATAAAATATGTATAAATTTTAAAATGTGAAACCATTCGGTAGAAATGTGGCTGTTGACAGAGGAGGGAAGCTAAATAGCCAGTAAACAGGAAATTACGCACAGCTTCAGGGAAACGCAGTTTAAAACACACAAGAGATCTGACACCTTTCAGACCGACAAACGTTAGAAAAATCCTGGCAAAAGGACCTCGAGCAGTAAGGGTAAGAGTGAGAGCACTGTGGGTGGGGCGCACATTGGGGCCACTTCTGGCAAGATAGTTGGGGAAATCTAGTAATGGTGAAATGCTGATACACTGTGAGCCTGCATATCCCCCATGAGGTATAGTCCCTGAGAGCTCCTGCACTTGTGTTTGGGAGACAGTATAAGAATGGTTATTGCAGCATGGTTTACGATAGCAAAAACATTGGAAAGATCCTAACTATCCATCACCGTGAGAAAAGATTGTGTGTTGTAATCATTCAGTGGAACGAATGCTACAGAGAGCTGCATGGAACAAAATGGATGAATATCACTTACAGTGGAGACCCAAAAAAAGCTAACTGCAGAAGAATATGTAGAGTATAATACCATTTATATAAACTTAAAAACATGCAAACAACAGTACATTTGTTTAGGGATGCATACAATATGCAGTAGAAAAGAAAATGCACAGAAATGACAAACTCCTGGTCAGAAAGAGTAGTGGTGGGCTTCCCTGGTGGCGCAGTGGTTGAGGGTCTGCCTGCCGATGCAGGGGACACGGGTTCATGCCCCGGTCTGGGAGGATCCCACATGCCGTGGAGCGGCTGGGCCCGTGAGCCATGGCCGCTGAGCCTGCGTGTCCGGACCCTGTGCTCCGCAACAGGAGAGGCCACAACAGTGAGAGGCCCGCGTCCCGCAATAAAAAAAAGAAAAGAAAAAAAGAAAGAGTAGTGGTGACCTGAGAGGAAAATGAGATCCTTCACAGCAGTTGTTAGCTCTTGGGGGAGTGGTGGAGTTGGGGTAGGGAAACAGGGTGTGTGTGCCTGGGATCTTCAACTGGATTGGCCACACTTTATTTCTTGAGGGGAGGCTGCACAGTTGTTTGTCGTACTATTGTTTGTATCTTTTTATGTCTGAAATATTAAATATATTGAATAAATGTTTAAAGGAGAGGGCAGAAGAGTGGAAGAACTTTGAGGGCACAGAGTTTGGAAAACAGGCCTGTGCCTGTCTCCCTTGTATCTGTACTAGAGGAGGCACACAGCACGTTTTTACCACAGAGCTTCCTAATTTTTGGCTTTATATGTGATCATTGACATCTGTTGCCTGCTGTGCACCGGAGAACTCTTTAATCACTCCCTATCCATTTGTCTGCTATTCCGCATGCCCAAAGGAATGTTTTGATTGGAATTATTTGTCTTTCTGACAGTTTGCTGCAAACCCTACTGAGTTGAATTAGGTTTTGAAAAGATAACATATTATGATTAAATGGTGCCTTCGAGGCCCAAACTACTTGCAGTTGGTCAAACTATGCCTAGTGAGTGAAGTGGGGCTTCCATGCCCTTTCCTCTCATCTCCTTCTGATTGCTTAAACCCCCAGGCTTTATCTGTGACTCTTGACTGGCCTATCCTGTTTGTGGTGCCATTCATATGTTCAGTTTCAGTTCCTTGAGAGTGGGGCCCTGAGGTTCTGGCAGTCCTTGGCTTGCAGAGATCACACTTGCAAGGCTCAGCCTGCGGACAGACAGTGCACTGCTGAACTTCATCCTCATCATGCTCATTCAAGCCCTGGAGGTAGGGCTTGACCTCAGTTTGTCCCCATAGCCCTCTTTCTCCTCTCTCATCTTCAGCCCTAGCACTTCTACTAACCAACCCCCCACCCCAAGCTCAAGCAGGAACCTTGACTCTGTAGTCAGAGGGAACATACTGGTTATATAATTGCTGTTTGGAGGTATACTGGCATGTTGGAATTTTTGGAATGAATTTTTACATAGTTTGGTAGTTCAGTAATTTTCCAGAAGCATGGGTAGCCTGGGCCAGGTGGGAGGTTTCCCCAACTCTGTTAACATTCACCCCCATTCCTCTTTGTGTGAGAAGCGTTTTCTTTTACATAGTTTGGTAGTTCAGTAATTTTCCAGAAGCATGGGTAGCCTGGGCCAGGTGGGAGGTTTCCCCAACTCTGTTAACATTCACCCCCATTCCTCTTTGTGTGAGAACAGCGTTTTCTTCCTGAAACGGGGGGGGGGGCGGGGGCTGTGACAGGCTCCCTGTGGTGGAGCATCCTAAAAGACACAGCAAAGGATTTTTTACCATGGAAACACCTTAGCAGGGCCCAGGGGCCTCTGGGGGTGGACATGGTGCTTTAACATGCTACTTTCACAGCAGGCTGTAAAAGGAAGTGAGCTCCTTGCCTCTGGCCTGTTTCCTGTCTGCCAGGCAAGCAGAGTAAGCTGATAAATCTGCTGTTCACTTTGTTTCAGGCTCTTTTGTCTTGACTGGTCAACTTGGAGAAACCAAAGTAGTTCAACAAGACATATGGTTGACTAAATAATTAAGAGAGCTATCTCCTATTAGGACATTTTTTCCTATGGAAAAATCTTATTTAACGTATCATTTTTCTCTAACAACAAAACCTGGGTGCCCAGAACAGCAAGGGTATGGACTCTTGTGGATATATAAATAACCTGTGACATTGCTAGCAAATCATTCCCAATGCCATGTTTCTTCATATTCTCCTTACAGCATACTGCTTCTCCTCCCAGTGAATTCTCCCTACTGTAATATTATTCTTTTCTGCCACATTGCCACTCAGCACTGTCCTTGTTTCTCCTTAAGCTAGTACTTATCTTTGACTTAAATGAATTTTATTTTCCTTCATCTAGGTTAAGGATGACAAATAGGTTTCAATTCTTATGCCATATCTGATCCATTAAAAATGGCTGCCTGGATTTCTGGGTTGGTAAGGATTCAGAGGCCAGTCTAAGCTCAGCAGGGAAGAATGCTGATTGATTAGCAATGTCTGTGATGGGCATAGGGTTAGGGCTTGGAGCACTCCTGTCTAAAGTACCCATAAAAATGTAAAAAATTAGGAAACCTCTTAACACATCAAACCATGAATGGTGGTTATTTGTAGATGGTTAGATTACAGGGGACTTTAATGTTCCTTTTTTAATGATCTATGTTTTCTACATTTTGACAGTGAAAATGTATTACTTTCATAAGCAGGAAAAAAGCACTCAGTGTTATTTTGAAAAGAAACGTCTTACCTAAATGAAACCAGTGATTTGAATGTGCTGTGCCAATGCTTGATTCTGCTGCTGGGCTGTGTAGTTGCAGTGTACTTAGCACAGTGCTAGGCATGCTCACTGATTTTCCTTGCCTGTACTCCAAAAGTCATTTAACCCTGGACCGTAGTTCTTGGTGTGAGGTAGAATGTGGGCTGATTGGTTTCCTGTCTTCTGACTGGCAGGTCGAGGTGGTGCATCTATCTATGGCAAGCAGTTTGAAGATGAACTTCATCCAGACTTGAAATTCACAGGTAGGTATATGACCTGTCTGGACTGGGTAGGAAGAGGGAGTGGATTTTAAAAGCTCACTCTTTGGGCTGTGATTCAAAGTGAATGCCTGACACCGTGGCCTGGTGCCATGTAGCTGCCCATCTGCAGAGCCACAAAGAGCTCTGACGGATTAGAGAAAGCAGCCTCAAGAGTCCTGAGCGATTCAGAGTGCCGATCTGAGTGATCTTTATTCTAACTACTTGTTGAATGTTGCTGTTATAAGCTTCCTCAAAGAAGCAGTTGACCTTCCTGAATTTTTGAGGGGAATTGAAAACATGGTCCAGAGTTTAGCAGGGATCGTCATGGATAGAGGCTAGGGAGTAGGTGAAGACAAGGAAGATGAGGCCATCGGGTAGTGCAGTTGTTAGGCCTTGTGCAAGGGCAGAGAGCCTGCCCTGAGGGGAAGGTTGTCTGGTCGGGTGGTTGGTCTGGCTTCTTTTTATCCCTAGGCTGGTGTTGCAGATCCAGGCTGGAGCTATGGGGGTTATTCATACTCTTTCCTCTCTTCCTTTTTCCCACCAGGGGCTGGAATTCTCGCAATGGCCAATGCCGGGCCAGACACCAACGGCAGCCAGTTCTTTGTGACCCTGGCTCCCACCCAGTGGCTTGACGGCAAACACACCATTTTTGGCCGTGTGTGCCAGGGTATAGGAATGGTGAATCGAGTAGGAATGGTGGAAACAAACTCCCAGGACCGTCCTGTGGACGATGTGAAGATCATTAAGGCATACCCTTCTGGGTAGACTTGCTGCACTCTTGGGCACACCCAGGTCTTCTGAGATGGCCCCAGTGAACCAGTTTCCAGATGACCTAGAATGACACGTAACTCTAAACTGCATTTTGGTCTTGCAAATCTGAGGCGCTGAGGAGGCCTGGGGTCTTGGGTGAGTTAGAGATGGAAGTGTATTTTAATAGGATGCTTCTTTTCTCTTCCCCAGTGCCTGGTTGACAGAGCATTTGCAGAAATGCCCATGCGTGATTGTTCACAGGTTACTGCTCACTGCAAATGACCCATACTGCTCCTTCTTGTGTGTATCTGCTCTATACACTTGGAACGAAATGAAGCCAACTCTGTCATTTCGCAGTGCCTAACCAGCCTCTTCTTGCAGAAATTTATATTCTGGGCTACACTGCAGTCTTTGGTGGCTGACAGCCATAGAATTCAAAACCAAGTAGTGTCTATCAGCCTTCTTAACTGTGTGCACCCCCTATTTCAGTCTCTTGCTTTTGTTCTTCCAGGGATTGTATGCATCTCTATATATATTTTCCCTCTCAAAACCAGAACATCAACACTGCTGTTTCTGACACTTAGACATCCCACGCAAAGCCACATTGAATTTTTGCCAAGTGAAAAATGCATCCAACAATCAAGTTTCTAAGAATGTGTCAAGTGGGGAATGATAATGTGTAATAATTGAGAAATTACTTTATTAAAAAGAAGCAGAAGCATTGACCATTTTTTCCCCAGGAAGGAGTAGAAATCTATAGTGAGCATACGAAAAGACTATGAATTCTTCTTAAAAAGCAGTATCCTCATAAAGGAGAAGCACCGCTTACGTTTCTTTGGTTTTTTTTTTGCGGTACACGGGCCTCTCACTGTTGTGACCTCTCCCGTTGCGGAACACAGGCTCCAGACGCGCAGGCTCAGCGGCCATGGCTCACGGGCATAGCTGCTCCGTGGCATGTGGGGATCTTCCCGGACCGGGGCACGAACCTATGTCCCCTGTATCAGCAGGCGGACTCTCAACCACTACGCCACCAGGGAAGCCCACCACTTAAGTTTTTTAACCTAAGACTTTAGAGAAACTAGATAAGAGATTTTATATATATTTTTTTATCTTTCTGATTTTTTTAGGGAGGGGGCGGTGAGAGAAAGGAAGTTAATACCTATGGAATACATAGAACTTCCAAAATAAAATGCCATTGATGGTTGAAATCACTGCTGTAGTTTGATTTTAAATATTGTATGAGGTTCTAACAGCCATTTGGACCTCTGAACCCTTTCAAGTAGTATTGCAGGACTGATATTCAAGTTTTCATATCATTTTAGGTTTTTGGATCTCTAGTAGACTTCTCCCATCCAAGAGTAGGTTTGACTTTAAAAAAGCAGCACCAAAGAAAGAAGTAAGTGATGTTGATTAGCATTTCTGAGTGAGGGGGAATCCCCTGTAGATTAAGCAAGTGGCTGTGCTGAGAGACCTGAACCATTCCCTGAACTTGGAAGAGATACACCTGTATGTCATCACAAGCCCAGAGGCAAAATGTGTTGTGGTGTTTGTTTTCTTTTTTTTTTTTTGCGGTACACGGGCCTCTCACTGTTGTGGCCTCTCCCATTGTGGAGCATAGGCTCCGGACGCGCAGGCTCAGCGGCCATGGCTCACAGGCCCAGCTGCTCCATGGCATGTGGGATCTTCCCGGACCGGGGCACGAACCCGTGTCCCCTGCATCGGCAGGCGGACTCTCAACCACTGCGCCACCAGGGAAGCCCCATTGTGTTTGTTTTCTTAAATGGGTAGTTTGTTGATTGAAAAGGGGATTATAGCTTAACTGTTCATCCTTATCACTCTACATATTTTGGAAATGGTGATTTACTTTATGGAATGGCCAAACAAGGTTCTGTTCCCCAAGCCTTCCCCATGTTCAGCCTCTTTCTCCATCTTTCTGTCTCTTTTCTCTGAAAAACAAAAAAGCAAAACCCATCAACAAACTATGTAAATGAATTTGTAACCTCCCAGAGATGGTTTTGGGGTATAGAGTACTTATTCTGGGAAAATAGAAATACATTTCTTTCAGCCTGGACTGGGTGGACATAATTGGACCCACCTCTAGGAGCAAGGAATAAGACACTCAACCACTGACCTTCCAGAATTATAATCCTGAAAATCCCTGCTTTCACCCAGGTCATGAGAGAGGTGGAAACATATTATCGCTGCTTTGAGAAGTAAAGAAGGTTGTGATTACACTGGGAAGAGAGCTACACAGGCACAGTTCCTTGTTTCTGGATAATATACCAAATGTATGCCGAGGTGATCACACATGCAACATATGCCAGTTTTCATAAAGGATGTGACCTCAAAGAGTAAAACTTGAACTGTTTCAGTTTCCAGTGATTCTGCCAGTTAGCCAGAGATGTAGAAATTCCTGACTCTGTGTAAAGGGGGCTTGTGTAAAAGGAATCCTGGTTGATCCCTTTGTCATACGAGTGTCCACACCCTCTCTGGAAAAGTACAGTTACGACAAGTCTTGTGGAAGTGGGGTGTGCTAGGGCACAGATAGCTCATTTCAGTCACAGCTCAAATAGATCAAGGTGAAGGTAGGTTATGCAGAGAATGCAGGATGAGTTTGTAACTTAGATGGAGATTAATGAAGATAGGTTGTGGGACTGTGAGAGCTAATCAAGGGACAGGAGATATATAGCTTTGGTGGGAAGGGTAGGAGATTCCAGACTTTTTAGAGAAGGCTTGAAGTTGGGAGTAGATAAGCCAACGAAAGAAGCCTTTAAACAACTGCCCTTGGGATGGGTTAGAAGTTTGGTACCCAGACTGGAAAGTGCGTGGCCCCCAAGGGTCTTAGCCCAGGGCTTCTCACTCTTTGCCACACTCAAGAATCACTGGGGAGCCTGCTAGAAAGCAGATCCGGATTCAGCAACCGGCTAGAGATTCTGCGTTTCTAACCAGCTCCCAGGAGATGGCGACTGCTGGTCCAGATACTACACTTTGAGTGGTGAGAGCCTAAAGGTCATGTTTGTCAACATGAAATTGGGGTGGGGAGTGGTTCATAGAGCATGGAGCAATCAGGACAATAACCTTTTCTTCTGCCTCCTAGACCAGTAGTGGTCTTAGAAAACTGAAGGGATTCAAAGCTCTTGGCTTTGGCTGCTAAGATTGAGCTTTAAGAAACAATGCTGTTCCACCTTCCGTTCCCATTTAGTACACCACGGACATCAGACCATGTGTGACACTAAGATTCTGTGAGGGTACCAGAGTGGGTGAGATGGTATGGTTCAGTAGATATCACAGAAATTCAGGGGAGAGGTCGTCAGCAATTATGACATTGAGGGTGAAGGGCTCCGGAACCAGACTGCCAGAGTTCAGAGCCCAGCTTCACTGCTTAGCAGCAGTGTGATGAACTATTAATAGTTTCTTAATCTCTCTGTGCCTTAGTTTCCTCAACTATAAAATGAGGATAATGGTCCTAACCTCATAAGGCTATTGTGAAGATTAAATGAGCTAGAGCAGGTACTTAGAACAGGGACCAGCATTTAGGAAACAGCTGTCCTTATTACTGGCAGCCCTTGAAGCCACCACATACTTCTGCATTTTCACACCAACATTTCAGCAGCCTGACCTTGCACACCTCTCCCTCCCGCTGGGCTAACCTCTGAGAGCAAAAGCCCTTGTCTTATTCCCCTCTGGGAGTTCTCTTAGCACCTTATGCAATTCTTTGAGGTTATTGCTGAATAAATCAAATTAAAAATTGTTCTGTGTCAGGAAAAGATTGAGATCCATTTGCAGAAATAATAGCATTACTCCAAGTCTCCAAACCCAGGCTTTAGCTGGTATGGTAGCAAAGCCTTTCCACTAAGCCCTGTGGAAGTCCTCAGCTTGATTTATTTTTGGACTGTGTCTCCAGAATATGTCAAAATGGCTTTCCCTGCACAAGGGAAACGATTCCTACCCTCAGATCCTCAAGCCAATCTGAGCTGTCACCGTGGCCCCTTCTGGCAATACATTCTTGCAACGTGTGGAGGAGGAAACATTGAAGAGCACATTTGTTTAAGTGGCAGAGTTTACTGCCTACAAAGCACTTCATGGCCTCAGAGCCCTGTTGCCTGTAGGGTAGATTACTATTTTTCAGGTAAATATCGGATAGGGATCTTCCAGCAACATTTTTTTTACAGATAAAAGAGGGGAGAAAAACAACAAAAAAAAAGAAGCAAAGTATAGGGGAAGAAAACATGTTAGGGTCTCACTCTAAGGCCGGCTTGGTCTGAGTTTGAAAAATGGGTCCTTATTTGTTCTTCCAAGTAGGTAATCCATGATCCCTAACTGTATGAAACCACAGATGGCCAGTTTTGGGTCAGGTTTGTGGATTGAGATGTGAGGCTTTTGTGTGACCTTGGGTGAATCACTTTACCTCTGAAACTTGGTTTTCTCATTCATCAAACGAAGATCAGAGCAAGGCCCCTATTAGCCCTAAATTTCTGAATCTAGGTCATTCTGAGAAGATTCCTTCAGCTGCCGAATTTCCATTTAGAATGCTGTTTTGGAAATTTGCCACTAGAGGCCAGTGTGAATACAGTTTAGCCTTGCAGCTTCTTCAATCGGCAGATGCCTACCAATGCCTTTTCATGATTCTAAGCCAGGCCTGGCACCCCTTGGGTGTGGAAAGCCAGCAGCTGCTCAGACTGAGTGGGGCCAGAATTGAGACATCAGCCTGGCATTGAACAGGCTTGGGAAGGCTCTCTGTCGGCACAGGCCCGCCAGCCCTCTTTCCTGTCTACTGGACTAGGTGGAGGAGAAGCCCTCCGTGCATGGCGAGGGTGGTTGAGCCCCTGTGCCCGGGGCCTGGTTCTGTAGCGTGCCTCATTGTAAAGAGCCAGCTCCCTCTTAGCCGCTTAATGTTGCACTTTACAGTTGAAGCCATTCATTCAGCAAGTAATCTTGGAGCCCCTCTTTTAGGCCCAGCAATAGCAAATATTTTCAGAGTCAATTAGAAGGAAACTTAGAGGACTTCCCTGGTGACGCAGTGGGTAAGAATCCGCCTGCCAGTGCAGGGGACACAGGTTTGAGCCCTGGTCTGGGAAGATTCTACATGCCGCGGAGCAACTAAGCCCATGTGCCACAACTGCTGAGCTCACGGGCCACAACTACTGAAGCCTGTGCGCCTAGAGCCTGTGCTCAGCAACAAGAGAAGCCACCACAATGAGAAGCCCGCTCGCGGCAACTAGAGAAAGCCCGTGCGCAGCAACAAAGACCCAATGCAGCCAAAAATAAATAAATGAATAAATTTATTTAAAAAAAAAAGAACCTTAGAAGAAAAATTATTGCCCTTTCTCTGTTCCATGGTCTGTGGAAGCTTCTTATATGTATTTTTCTCTTAATCTCCAAAGCCATCCTCTGAGGTTGGCGTTATTATGCCCATTTGCAGGTGAGCAGACTGAGGACCAAAGACAAGTAGCACTGAGCCTTGTACAAAGTGAATGAATGTATGGAATAATAGGCCCAGTGTTGCAGGGCTAGTAAAAGGCATGTCTAGGACTTGAACTTGAGAACTTCTGATCCCAAGTTTAGCCCTTTTATCTCTACCTTTGACATACAGAGGAGGAAGATGAGGTGCAGAAAAAGAGAATGATCTGGTGGCAGGGCAGGCATTAGGACCAGAAACTCCTGCCTTGCAGGCTATCCATCCTAGAGCATCCTCAGCCCAAG